TTTTGTTGATAGCTTCAGTAATACATATTTTGTACCAGAAGTCGAGTTCAAGAAACATAAGTACGTTTTTATTACAATTGAAATATATATATATAAATATCCATGTCCATCCAACCACGTCTCAATGTCTATGTCTGGGAGAACACGCTAGTTTCTCCCTCTGCGGAGTCTCCACCACTTTTCTTTCTTCTTGTTTCCCGGCTCCTGGTCTTGGTGCTCCTTCCCTCTGTCTCCTCTTCGTTCATTCTCCTCTTCCTCATCTTCCTCCTCTTCCTCATCTTTCTCCAGCTGCCGTGTGCAGCACATGAAGCTCCAAATTGCCCAATGCCAGAAACTGTTCTTTCTCTCTCCCTTAGAAGATGGGATGTGCTTAATCTCTTTCTTCTCTTCCTGAACACTCTCTGCCCTCCAAGGTTGCTCACATCTTCCTTCCTCATTCACCACTTGCTGCTTTATATCGTCTTCAATCGTGTCGACCTCCTTCAGCTCTACCTCATTTGCCTTTAACTCAATAGCTCCTACTTCTTTTGCCTCTACATCATTCTCCTCTACCAAAATCCCCTCACTCTCCTCCACCTCAATAGCCCCTACCTCCACTTCTACCTCAATCACCTCTACATCATTCGCCTCTAACTCATTCGGCTCTACCTCCATAACCACTTCCTGCTTGGCCTCTCCCTCAATCTCCTCTACCTCTTTTGCCACTTCCTGGATGGCATCTACTTCATATGCCTCAACCTCATTTGCCCCTTCCTGCTTTATCTCCTCCACCACCTTCTCAACTTTTTTTGCCATTTCCTGTTTGGCCTTTACCTCATTCGTATCTACCTCATTGATCAAGACCTGCATGGCCTTTTCTTCGATCGTGTCGACCTGAATTGCCTCGACCTGTTTCACCAATTCCTGCTTTGTATCTCTCTCAATCGCTTCTACGACATTGGCCACTACCTCTTTCACCACTTCCTGCTTGGCCACTGCATCAACCTCAATCACCACTACCTCTACCTCACTCGCCACTTCCTTCTTGGGCTCTCCATCATTCCTCTCTCCCTCAATCTCGTTTTCCTTCATCTCTTCTACTTCACGAACTTTCATCTCAGTCCTTCGTAGCTTCCTATTCCTACGTTTCCTCTGAACACCATCCTCTCCCTCTTTCTTTGTCTCCACAACATTATCAACTTTCTTAGCCACTTCCTGTTTGGCTATTCCCTTATTCCCATCTACCTCACTTGCCTCTACCTCTTTCCCTAAGTCCTCCTTGGCATCTCTCTCAATCCCTTCTACGACATTGGCCACTACCTCTTTCACAAATTCCTGTGTGGCCACTGCATCTACCTCAATCACCGCTACCTCTACCTCACTCGCCACTTCCTTCTTGGGCTCGCCATCATTCTCCTCTCCCTCAATCTCGTTTTCCTTCATCTCTTCTACTTCCCGAACTTTCATCTCAGTCCTTCGTAGCTTCCTATTCCTACGTTTCCTCTGAACACCATCCTCTCCCTCTTTCTTTGTCTCCACAACATTATCAACTTTCTTAGCCACTTCCTGTTTGGCTATTCCCTCATTCCCATTTACCTCACTTGCCTCTACCTCTTTCCCTAAGTTCTCCTTGGAATCTCTCTCAATCCCTTCTACGACATTGGCCACTACCTCTTTCACAAATTCCTGTGTGGCCACTGCATCTACCTCAATCACCACTACCTCTACCTCACTCGCCACTTCCTTCTTGGGCTCTCCATCATTCCCCTCTCTCTCAATCTCGTTTACCTTCATCTCTTCTACTTCCCAAACTTTCATCTCAATCCTTCGTAGCTTCCTATTCCTATGTTTCCTCTGAACACAATCCTTTCCCTCTTTCTTTGTCTCCACAATATTATCAACTTTCTCCACCACTTCCTGTTTGGCCATTCCCTCATTCCAATCGACCTCATTTGGCTCTATCTCTTCTGCTAATACCTGTTTTGCATCTCTCTCAATCCCCTCTATGACATTGGCCGCTATATCTTTCACCACTTCCTGCTTGGCCACTGCTTCTACCTTAATCACCGCTACCTCTGCCTCATTTGCTAATTCCCGCTTGCCATCTCCTTCTAACACCTCTACCTTATTCAACTCTACCTCATTCATCACATCCTCCAAAGCCACTGCCTCAATCATCTCTACCTCAATCGTCCCAACCTCCACCACTTCCTGCATGGGCTCTCCCTCACTCCCCTCTCTCTCAGCCACCTCTTCTTTCACTGTCTCCTCCAGAACTTTCTTCTTGTTCTTATGTTTCTTCCTACTCCCACGTTTTCTCTTCATACCATTTCTCTCCCCCACTTTCTCCATCTCTTCCATCTCGTTCTCAACCTTGTTGCTATTCTTAAATGTCTGCTGCACATCCTCATTATTGGTGCTGACTTCTGCCTGCTGCTGCTCTTCTGCCTTTTGCTGCTGCTGCTGCTGGTGGTGGATGATGAAGTTCTTCAGCTCGGTGCTGTTCTGGAATTCCAGCAGCTCCCGCTGATACTTGGCCTGCTGCTGTGCACAATGATCCAGCAGGATCATCTCGAGCTCCCGAATCTGGCGCTCAGCTTCTAGTTTTGTAGCACAGAGCATCCTCTTGTGCTGCCTCTTCGAGCGACGGTCTGGGGAGTCACATGGGGAGGAGAGAGCAGCACCACAATTGATTCGTTAATGGGTGTTTGAGTATTTCCAGTATGATAATAGGTTTTTCCCATTTTTTCTGGCAACAAAACAGGTATTAAGATGTTAAAACACAAAACTGAAACCTTTTACAAGGAATCATGTCTGCATTAACCACGATGCTTGTGGTCAGAATGCAAACAAAAAACATACTCTGATAATATATGCATTGTCCTTGAAACTGATTGTTCCACACCAGGGACAGCTTTCTTTTGAGCCTCGTCTCAAACGGTGTTAGACCAGAGGACGCCAAAAGGCGTATTTCCTGTATGTTATTTTGGTAAAGAAACTTGGCACCATTGACAGGAATCTAACTTAACTTGAGACCGATGTAACAATGATAACACTGTAGGGAGGTCTGGAGGTTGACTCATATGCCGGAGACACCTCCTCCTCCAAAGAACTTTATTAGATTAATGGGCTGGCTGGGGAGGCCATATTAAGTTTGCGAGGTCTGGAAACTCCAGGCCAAACATAGATAAACTTCCATTATCTCCGAAAAAGTAATATGGATTGATGACCAAGCTGTGGAGGTCTGGCTAAATTTATAAGATGTCCATTGTTTCACAAGAGAGAGCATGAATCGGATAAGAAATCCACTTTTAATTCTTATACACTGGTCCATTCATACAATTAGTATATTAGTGGGCTACGTTAGAGAAGATAAAGGGAGGAGAGGAGAAGAGGAGAGCCGGGGTGCCCGGAGCACAGAGAGTGCCCAGAGGGGCCAGAGAGCCAGGGGCAACCCTGATGTTTATGTTGGTTGGATAGCATGTGCTCCCATGCATGTGAGGTTGCTCTCAACAGAAGTCATTCCTTGCACGAGAATGGCTGAAATGCTGAGTAACCACTCAGAGGTATAGTGGTTAAGTAGTGGAGACGGTATAGTGGTAAAAGAGTGGAAATTTTAAAAGCAAAGTTTAAGATTTGCAGTTGTCAATTTATATTGAGCCGATACATATGGCAAGTGAAATTAAGAAGAGTTAAAGTGAGTTTTGCAGAAGAAATCTTGGAGGAAAGAGAGGATACATGTGTGCCTCTTGGAGAAAGAAAGGCATTGCTCAAAACTGCTGCAAGGTCACATGCCATGAATCGGATGAGTTTAGAAAAACGTGACTGTAAACCAACAAGCCTGTGAATAATTATCATGGTAAAGACACCTCTGTACGTTGGATACTGAAGGAAATCCATCGTGCTACACATCGTCAAAGCCCGACAACAACTGACATTCGAGAAAGAAGTACAATTTCATCGTTCTGCACATCCTCAATACCCCACCACATCTGGAAAGTCACCAGCTGCATCAAGCACCTGACTGTTGTGTTGTTCGAAAGACACTGTGTGTAACGACTTTACATCCACCGGCACAGCGGGTTTCTAAACGCTTGCCATGTCACCTTCTCAACACTAGCGTCAGAGACCATCTGATACAGACTGAAAGCTGATTTCCTTTGTTGCACTGTTTGCCTTTTCATGAATGTCATATTGTGCACTGGGTTATGCCTTATTAACCTAAATTCTGAATTTAGCTATTCATGTATTTCTATTACGGTATCACATATTCTTTGGACCAAGTGTCAATTGCCTATTTGATGACTAGTACTCTGATTCTTTTTTTTACAAATCAGGGACATGTTTTAATTAAAATGTGTCTGTGTGTGTGGTTGAAAAGTGTAACAATTCCATGCGTTACATGTGTAGTGTTGCAGCGCCGACCTGGTGAAGGCCTATGATACAATCAGTAGGCCAGGGCTCTGGATTGTTATTCATATTTTCGGAGTCCCTAACCCTCTGCTCACAATCATTAAGGACCTTCACGATGGTTGGCAGGCCCGGATAAAGTTGCATGCCTGGGAGTCAGAGCAATTTCCTGTTTACAGTGGGGTGCGACAGGGATCTACTCTGGCTGACACATTATTTAGCATCATCTTCGACCACATAGTTGTAGAAGCTTTTTATGGCTGTACCGGTGGATTTTTTTCTATTTGCTACAGATACAATGGGAGGCTGATTGATGCCTGGGTGAGGTCAAGGGATTGCTCCCTACTGGTCAACCATGTTATGTATACTGATAATTTGGAAGTTGATGCTCACACTGAAAAATAGTTGGAGGTTCTGCTGCTAAGCCTGGAGCGTGCGACAAAGAGGTGGGGCCTTACCATCAGCACCACCAAAACTAAGCACCCGGCTGAGTATGTTGTGTAATTTAATACTCCGCCCCCTCAACTACTCTTCAGTGATGGGGTAGTTGTAGAGAGAAGAAGTTTACGTACCTGGATAGTGTGCTTATGCAAAAATTCCAGTTTGGCAGCAGAGGTGTCACTCCGAATCGGCATATTTTAATCAGCTTCGTAACACTTTGGGGAATCTACCTGGTCTGTCACTCGACACAAAGTGCTGGGTCTTCTTGGCCAATGATGGAATAAATTAAAAATCTGAACCAGCTTTAAACTTTCAGACTGGCCTGCCTATGATCCACCCTGGGTTTAACTAGGCTGGAATGTGTGAAGAGCTCACAGTGAGCTCCACTGGTGGGCAGGGCTGCATTGCCTGGGTCATGTAGCCCGCATGCTCAGCCACCGCATGCCCAAGCAGCTTCTGTTTTTCTAGATAGAGGGGGCTAAATGGGCGTGGCACGGCCTGGAGAAGAGATGGACTGATGCAGTACAGGAGGATACGGAACTAAGTGGACTTGCCAAAAACTGGTACCACTGGTGTCAAGATCTGCCTCTATGGAGGAAGCTCGTGAAGGATGCTTATGGGAAGTTGGTGGCAGTTGCCCTCCAGCAAAAAAGGAGGGTGAGAGGAGCGACGCTCACAACAACAGATGGTGCACTGAATGACTAAAACGCAGCAAGTTGGCACAGTAGGATGCAAAGGTGATGCGTCTGCCAGTCATCTCAGTCAGTCAACCCATCGCACTGGGGTCTGTCCCCTGATCTCCTGTCGGCAAGCCTTCGACACTTCAAGTGGCCTCGGAGTGCACCAGGCCTGGCACAAGCGCCATGGTGACGTCTCCGTCACTTAGTGGCGAATGAGGGCTGTTGTTGTTATCTGAGTCGGTTAGGGGCCTCCCCTAGGTCCACTCAGCCTCAAATAAGTATCTGATGCGGTGTGTAAACATCGCCACTTGGGAGACAAAGACGGACAGGTGTGGTGCTGGCAACCCACCCCTCGTGTGCGGTGCCGGCCGTCATAGGTGCTCACTAACAGCACTTGCTCCTACAGTGTTTCAAAGCTATACACAAGATTTCTGTCTTTGTGTCTATGTGCAGTGTCTGTATGAGTGGTTGGGAGCAGTTGTGTCTGTGGGGATCGACCTGAGTTCGATTCCCATTCACAACCATCAGTGACTAATAAATAAAACCGGTCGTGTGCCTCCCCTACATCTACTCAAATTTAAAATAGTACCTCGAGCAACGTATAAACATCAACACTGGGGAGACAAAGGCATCCGGATGCGGTGCTGACCACCCACCCCATCATAGGTGCTAACTCGCTAACAGCACTTGACTCAATAGTCTGTTAAGGCTATACGGGGATCTGTCTTTGTATACAGGTGCATGTGTCTGTGTGTATGTCTGTGTGTGGAATTACAGTACTCACTTCCCGTCGGCTTGCTCTTCTCTCCACCCTGCAACAAAATCACAGCAGCGCACGTGAGACTCTAATCACATCACAGCTTACAACCACCACCACCATCATCATTACCGTCCTCATCATAACCACCATAACGATCACCATGGTAACCATCATCTTATTTCTGACTCCCCGTGCCCCTCCCCACGTGTGTCACTCCCCATACCTAACTTCACGTGTGTGGATACCGCTTAGACCAATTACTGCAAAGTATTGCAAGTCTACGGAAAATAGCACAACGGGACGCCCCCCCACTTGCCCTCTGCCCCCCCACGTGGATCCCACATCCCCTCTCGTGCCCCCACCCCTATCCCGCCCGGGCAGGGGGGGGGGCGGCTGTAGGGGGCCACGCGGGGGTGAGGGAATAGAGAAAGGTCGACTAAGCTTTCACTGATGACCCAGTGCGGTGTATAAACATCAACACTGGGGAGGGAAAGGCAGCATGGTGCGGACCAAAAGGATCACTCGTTAGCTGCCTCAGTCTAAATAGAAGCACACTAACGATGCTTTCCCCAGCGGTCCATATGAATCTAGGGTGACATTCATCTGTGTGGATGTTTGTGTGAAGGCGACACGGGGGTGTGTGTAACATATGTGCATGTGTGTCGACGAATGCGAGGGGCAAATGTACTCACGGGAGACATGGTCTTGACGGTACAAGAGATGTCGTGGATCTTCACCTTGTCAACGACTTTGTTAACGATGTTACGGACGTGTTCAACCTCGTTAATGTTAGTCAACGAAATTTACCAAGTCAGTTAACTGTCAACGATGTTTTTTGGCAATGTTGTCAAAGTGTGGTCCCGTATGCGATGTTGAAGTGCACAGCGAGTACGTCGGATCCTCAAGGTGAACTGAAGTCACTACTTGTCAAGACCGCGTACCCACAGCACCTAGACGCCACAGATAATGAAGCAGAGTGAGCTCGGGTCCAATGTTGCCAACTAACTCCACGACTCACATCTTATGGCACCTATACATATACGTACAGTGTCCACCATGTACGGGTCAGT